TTACCACTGAGTCAAGTGGTATCTTATTTAAAGACACTATCTGAGGGGAAATTCAAGCTGTTGAAATAAAACTAGCAAAAAGTTAAATATGAGACAACTCTACTAGTGGTTTGCCGTCTTCTATGTTTCCAGATCAAGTCATCACTTAATGTGTTTTTGTTTTAGTTTTTTGCAAGAAACCATGTGTTCCTGAAATAAGTCATTCACTCGAACATAATGGAAGAGAAAATAATTGGCAAGTGCATTCTCCCAAAAGCCAGGCCAGTATCCTTGGCATCATCCTTAGTGGCTCATTCTCTTAAAATCCACCTCCTATTTATCAGCAAATCTTGGGGTCTTCCCCCAGAAACCTTCCTTCTGAAGCCTGCCATTTTCACTGTCTCCCCCACTGGTTCTGGCCACCTAGCCCAAGACACCTCAATCAATGACTGGCATTAATTGCAATCAACTCATTCACTGGTCTCTTATTTCTATAGCCAATTAATTCATCCAGCAGCCAGAGTGATTGTTTTAAACAAAAACAACATCTGCTCTAACAACTTCTCAAGTCACTTGGAATAAAATCCAAAGTCTTGGCCATGGCATACAAAACCCTCCAAGGCCTGTACCCACACATACCACACTTCTCCCACTTCCCCTGCCCCTCATTCAGCTTCAGCCACCCTGGTCTTGCTCCTCCTGCTGTTTTTTTGTTTGTTTGTTTGTTTGTCTGTTTGTTTGGGGACACAGAGTCTCACTCTGTCACCCTGAGTAAAGTGCTCTGGTGTCATAGCTCACAGCAACCTTAAACTCCTGGGCTCAAGTGATCCTCTTGCCTCAGCTTCCCAAGTACCTGGGATTACAGGTGCCCACCCCAGCCCCCTGCTAGTTTTTCTGCTTTTAGTAAAGATGGGGTTTCACTCTTGCTCAGGCAGTGCGCCTACCTCGATGTCCCAGAGTGCTAGGATTACAGGTGTGAGCCACTGCACCCAGTCACTTCTCTAGATTCTTATGTAGCATTTTCCACCCCTAGACTTCACTGTGTCCTCTGCCTGGGATGGACTTCTCCCAGAGATCTCTGTGGTTAACTTCCACGTTTCTCTGAATCACAGAAGTTTCCATAATCCAGGAGTTCTGCCCCTACCCCCCATCTGAATAGCACTCTTACCCACTGCCCCACCCCGACTTGCTTTATTTTCCTTAACACACATCCCTACTGACGAATTATGTGCTTATTTGTGTGTTGTCTGTCTCTCCCACTCCTGCACTAAAACACAAACTCCTTCTGGGCCTGGGCTTTTGTTATCATTGTATCCCCAGTGATGAGGATGGTGCCTCACACATCAGAGGCTATTAGGAAGTGATGAATGAGTTGGGGAAAATGGCCACTTGGTCCCCTCCCTGATCTGTGCTCTCTTTCCCATAAGGAATGGGACACTAGGTAGTTACATCTCTGGGCAGTAGCAGGGTTGAAGTGGGGTATTTCATAAGGGATGTTTTTCTAAGTCTAAAAAATAAAAGCTTTCAAAATAGGCAAATATTGAAATATGTCCCTTTTCCCTCTGTTTCTCCTTTACCCTCTTATACATATAAAGTTCATCCAAAACATAAATCAAAGATGACTAGGTCCGGATAGAGAAAGGCCTCAGATTGCCAAATGAATTGTAAATTACACAAATTCCTTTTTTTAAATTTCAAAGTATTAAGGGGTACAAATGTTTTTCATCGCAAGGATTGCTTTTGTTACACTTGCTGTAAGCGTACCCATCACCCAAATAATGTTCATCGTACCTACCAGATAGGATTTTCCCCTTCCCCTCCTCCCAAAGTTTATGAATTCTTAATGGCCAGGGGAACTGTATTGGGGCTTATAGAAAGATACGTATTCTATCATATAAATATTTCCAATAATTTTTTGAGTGCTTGGGTATCCTTACCTATCAGGAATTGTTCTTTTTTGACTAGAGAGGACGTGATGGAGAAGGATGCTAACCGGTCAGTCTAAACTAGATTTTTCCAACAGCCTAACAGGCAGCATCCACACCAGGGCTGGATTAGTTCAAATGGCCACTGTCCTTTTTTTGCCTAATTTAGGATGTAAAGAGAATAGAGACTAAACCAGATCCCACACTGACACAGACAAGTCAGATTGTGTTTATTATTCTCTAGGAGATTTTAGAAAGATTGCCATCGACTAAGATAAATGGTTAACCCTGAATTATCTCTTTCCATGGGGATTCAAGTTAATCAAAGCCTCAGTGTAATCTTTTCAAATTGGCCAGCACCCTTTTCCACCTTCGATGCCAAGATTGGAAGAAGATGCTGAAAGCAGCTGTTACAACAGAATCAGAGCATTTTGAAGCCAAGAGGGATTCTCAAGCCTCATTTTATAAAGAAACAGATGAGACTCAGCTTGGAAAGGTCAGATCCAAAAGAGGACTCTTTCTCTAAATGTCCATGAGAGGGTACCTCACTGATGTGGCATGGCTTTGGGAGAAATGAGTCCAGGTCTGAGACTAGCCATAGGAAACATTCAGCAAAGAACTGGATCTGGAATCAAAGGAGCTGAGGATAAAGTGCTTCCTTAGTCACTCACTGTCAGGGTAGTGTCGGGCAAGCTCTTTGCTATACAGTACCCCTGTTTCTATATTTATAAAAGGAGGCTGATAAAGACACAAAGCGATAGAAGAATTTAATGACATTAAAATCCAAAATTTAATCTCTGCCTAATCCACATCAGCATATGATCCTGGACACTTTACGAGTTACCGTTTTTCAGTAACTGGCCAAGTCAGTGGTATAAGCTTTATGTCACAGATGAGACAACTGGATGGAGAGGATGGAGAAATGTGCTCAAGGTCATCCAGCCAGCAGATGGCATTGCACTTAGGTCCCAGCTGTGTAGGACAATGAAAAGCTCTCCCTGGTTCCCTGACACTAGCACAGCTCGTGCCAGACGCCCCAGAAATGCTTCATGAATACTCACCATGAGAAAATACATTAAAGAAAAATAAGCCATCCATCCATGTAAGTTTCCCCAGAAACCTCTGGAGACCCCTTTCCCCAGAAACCTCTGGAGACCCCTTACAGCAGTATGGACTAAATACGCCATTCTCAAAGGCGGGTGTAAGCCATAAAGAAATGAGCAAAATAATTTTATTTGAATGTTGAAATCTATTCATTCAGACAACATCTGTGGAACTTCTCTAAAGGTACTCTCCTGAACATTGATTCGTAATCTAACACAATATGTCGTAGTTTTTAAAAAATCAAAGTTGGGTTTTTATGGAATGTGTGTATTCGTTACAACTTCTCTTACAATTCTGTAGACAGTAATTTATGCCTGTTTTATGGGGTTTTAAATTATTACAGAAGAAATGTGCGGTTCTCATATACTATATTTGGCTTTGATGTTTACATTTAGCCACACCTATACAGATGTCAAATTCTCCATCAAGGCTATAATGCCGCCCTCACCCATTACTACATTGTTTCTGGAGGATGAACATAATCTACTTTATTATAATCCACTTTAAAGTCTGTCTGCATTGTGGGGGGGGGGGGAGCATTCCATAGCTCCTCTCCCATCAACAGGTGTGGAGCTTGTCTTGCCCTGATTTAGTTTATTGTGGGTATTCATCTCCAACAGTCCTCAGCATTCTTGATAAGATGTGTTTGAATGGGCAGTGCCTGTGGCCCAGTGAGTAGGGCGTAGGCCCCATATACCAAGGGTGGAGGGTTTGAACCCAATCCTGGCCAAACTGCAACAAAAAAATAGCTGGGCATTGTGGCAGCGCCTATAATCCCAGCTACTTGGGAGGCTGAGGCAAGAGAATCACCTAAGCCCAAGAGCTGGAGGTTGCTATAAGCTGTGATGCCAAGGTACTGTATTCAGGGTGACAAAGTGAGACTCTGTCTCTAAAAAAAAAAAAAAAAAAAGATGTGTTTGAAAACAGAGGGCAGCTACTTAAAAAGAAATTCTTTTTTAAAGCTTGAAAATCACTGGGGCTAATGGAAACTGCTGAGTTAGTTGACTTCTTCCCTGTCAGTTGTTTGGGGACTGCTCCTTCACCTTTCTGGTTGCAGTCTCCTTGTTTATAATATGAAGCCTTTGAGCGTGATACTCTAAAAGTACAGCATCGCTGCAAAGAACCAGTTAAATCAGAGAAATTTCTGGAAGCACCCCTGGCAGCATTACTCTGGCTTCAGTGGTGCTGATTTATAATCACAGCACATACCCACCACCTCTCACTGCTGCGTGTTACTGAGATAATGAGGAAATAGACCTGAGGAGCTGTTTTCTTTTGAGCTTTTTCCTTACTGAATAAAACAAGTAATGACCCTTACCAAAAAGTAGGCTCCTCTATTCTGGAATGTATTTATTTACTCATGATATATTTTATCTTGACAAAAAATAATTCTTTTTTTAGCAGTTGACTAATGTTTCCTCAACAATTATGTATTCTACTGTTTTATAGAAACATTGTTATTTAGAAAATTATGTCGCATTAGTCTTCTTATAGGTGATTTGAAAAGCTGGTGGACTTTGTGATGCAGAGTTTTCAACAGTTAAATCCACTGAGCCCAAAAAAACGGGTTTTTGTGTTGCTTAGAAGTAGCATGTTAAAACACTTGCTATTTGACATCTTAATAAAAACATTTGGAGGTACTTTCAGAACAACTAAGAGAGACTTTTATGTCAGATCATATGGTTTATGTATAGACAGTCCTTGAAAGTCTTTCAAAATGGGTCTCTGTCTCAGTCTTACCCCCTGGCCACCTGGCCGACCTCCCCAGGAGGCTCCTGGAGGCTTCCATTCACCCACTTTCTTCTAACTCATGACAAACCTAGGAAGTCGGAGCTGACTGTATCAGGAGCGCCCTCTTGAGGACAGACTGGTGGAAGGAAACGAAAGAAGTTTGTCTTTAGTTAAAACATTTCAGGGCAGGGGTGAAGGCATGGATTTCATGAGACACAAAAGTTCATTCACTTTTTATTTTTTGTCATTTGTTTTCATCAGGTCAGTCACCACCCACCTATATCTGCGTGTCATGCTGAGTCTAGAAATTTTGTTTTCTGGCAAGGTACTGTATCAACTAATATATTTGACCTCCATCATTTTGTATGATATAGATTTATTTTATTCAAGTATTGCTATAACTCCTGGTTAATATCAAAAGTGATCCTTGGGCCTGGGCCTGCTGAGAAGGATCCACACCACTTGCTCTCCCCTCTCATCTCTGAACAGTAATTAGAATTTGTCAATTTCAATGAATGTTAAGTATTTAATTTTAATTTATTATTAATTAATATTAAATATTCAGGGAATCGTTTCGGTTTTATCTTTAAAAAAAATTCCCAATCTTTTTCTGAGCTACCACCACTTATTCCTGTGGATTTTTCTCTGTCTTATTTCATAAGTACTTGAAATGTCTCACCTATTTCAAGAGATGCTAAATATTTACAGTTGTTTATCACAGTATAGACAGCAGAGGATTTTTTTGCTTTTGAAAATTTAAATTTTATTCTGGGATCACATTTTATATCATTGTTTTTTTCATGTGTGAGGTGGTTCTTAAAATTTTGTTCAGTTTATATTTTGAATTGGAGGGTAAGTGGGTGAGTTTTTCTCAAGAATAAATAAGGCTGCATATATTTCCTAGATTTGTTAACTAATTTTGTTAACATCTTCATTTATTCCAAAAGTCAGAAGGTACTATAGAAAGAAAAAAGGAGCATCATGAGTTTTCAAGCAGTGAACACAGATCAATTTTTAAAACATTTTTCTCAGCCAGGCTTAGTGACTCACTCCTGTAATCCTAGCACTCAGGTAGGATGAGGTGAGAGGATCCCTTATGCTTAGGGGTTTGAGACCAGCCTGAGCAAAGTGAGACCCCATCTCTACTAAAAATAGAAAGCTTAGCTGGGCATTGTGAAGGGCTCTTGTAGTCCCAGTTACCAGGAGGCTGAGGCAGGAGGATTATTTGACCCAGAAGTTGGTTGCTATCAGGTAGGCTGATGTCATGACATGCTAGCCTGGGCAACAAAGTGAGACACTGTCTCAAAAAAATCAACAACAACAAAAAAACATTTTTCTCTGTTGACAGTGATATCACACATGGCCTTTAAACACACACATACACACCTCTAAAATTGTAAAAGTACAAGAGTATACTGTAATACTCTCCCCCTCCCTCTTTCCGGTCACCCAGTTCCTCTCTCAATCAATATTACCAGTTTAAAGTTACAAATATCATGAATTTTTTCTTCGTCTTTGCCATTAAGTTTAAAATTAAAGCTTGATTTTAAACTGTTCTAACTTTTACCATAACCCTCTGGAAATACTTTTTATAATGTCCCTGACTTCTTATTTGCTAAATCTCATGGACGCTATAAGCATCTATTTTTTGTTTTTTTAAAGTTATGTATTTTTAATTGGAGGGGGTCTTCTCCAAGTGGTTCCTGTGTTTTCCCTACCTTCCACGGCTCCCTTCTCAGCTCCTTCCTCATCAGCCTTTTCCTGGCTTTCCCCACCTATTTCCATAGGCCCATGATTTACAGAGCTTGCTTTTTGACCAAGCTGACATTTCTCTGCCATTTAATTATGTTTCTTAAATCATTTACATGTATTGTGATTAGGGATGTAGTCAGGTTTAAATCTGCCCTCTTGTTATCGGTTTCTGTTTGTCACATTTGTCCTTTGTTATCCTTTTCCTCTTTCTGCTTTCTTTAGATTAATTAAGCACTTTCTGTGATTCTAGTTTATCTCCTATGTTGGTTTATTAGCTATAACTCTGGGTTTTGTTTCTTAGCTGTTCCTTCAGAATTTATATTATATATCTTTAACCTATTACCATCTATCATCAAGTAGTATTATGGCACTTCATGTATAGTATAAGAAACTTACAAAAGAGGCTGGGTGCAGTGGCTCCTACCTGTAATCCTAGCACTTTGGGAAGCCAAGATCAATGGATTGTTTGAACTCAGACGTTAGAGACCAGCCTGAGCTAGAGCGAGACCCTGTCTCTAAAAATAGCTGGGCGTTGTGGCAGGCACCTGTCGTCTATGATGACAGGGCACTCTACTGAGGGCAACATAGTGAGACTCTGTCTCAAAAAAAAAAAAAAAGAAGAAGAAGAAGAAGAAACTTAGAAAAGTATACTTCCATTTCCTCCCTCCCAATCTTCGTGCTCTTTTTGACATACATTTTACTTAGGTATGTTATAAGCGCTACATTTTTTTTTTTTACCTTAAACAAGTTATCTTTTTTCTTTTGGTAACAATTTTATGGGGCTATAATTTATATACCATGCAATTCATGCATATAAAGTATACAATTAAGTATTTTTAAAATTATATTCACAGAGTTGTGCAATCAGCAGCATGGTTAATTTTAGAATGTTTTTTTCACTTCAAAAAGAAACCACTTTAGCAAATACCTGCTTCCCCATTTCCCTCAACATCCGTTAGCCTTAGGCAATTACTATATGCCTCCATAAATTTACTTGTTTGGGGCATTTTACACAAATAGGATCATATAATATGTGGCCCAGGTGCTCCCTGGTTCCAGCCCCTCCCCACCCCCCACACACAGCCCTGCCCCCGACGGCCTCCTTGCTTCCAAAGGTGTATATGTCCTCATTGCAGCAGCCAGACCAGAGACCCACTCTACTGCTTATTGATTCCCTGTCTCCTCTGTTGGTATCCCCATTCTTGCAAGTTAGAAAAATTGACGTTACTCATAAATTCTGTATCTCATTTGTCACCTGGTTCTGTTTATTTCTACTCCGTTAATATTTTGGGGATCAAAATATTGATCCACTGTGTCCTGTGTTTTGGCTCACTTCCTCCCTGTTTATCCCCTGGGCAATAGCTTCTTGACTGGCCAGATCTTATCTCTCCCTCCCCTGTCCCATTCTCCCCGTTGCTTCCAACTGCAAGGTCTGTGTCTAAGCACATCACTTCCCTGTCTGTTTTTACCTGGTGCACACAAACCAGACTTCTCAACCAGGCTTGTAAAGCCCTGTTTTTTGTTCTCAATCTGACTTTCTATTCTTTCTTCAAGCCAATTTCAAACCTACAGGATAGAACCACACTATGTTCTCTTACACCTCTGTTCCCTTGTATGAGCTATTTCTTTTGCCTTGAATTGTTTTTTCTCTTCCTAGTAAACTCCTGCATATCCTTCAAAGTCCTGTTTAAATGGCCCCTTCTGACAAGCCTCCCCTGATGCCATCCCTAAGCACGTTCATTCCTTCTCTCTTGTCCATTTCACCTCGTAGTTTAAGATAACTCACAGGCACTCAGTTAAAGTTGGCATCCCTGTGTGTGGTTACTACTTTCATGCTGCTAACATGAGGCAAGGACTTTATCATACGATTTATATTCCCTGATTCTGTTCTGTACCTGGTTGGTACTTACGTTTTATGAAATGTTATGCTATACAATGATTGATTGGCTTATGAAGAGGTTGATGATTGATCATTTATTTAGCCCAAGAATGGTTTGATCTACCTGTCTCTCTGGCTAACTGTGTAATATTTGATGTTTCATTTCAGATGTAAGATGGAAAAACAAATTCTGGGGCAAATCCATGGAAATTGTCCCAATTGGCACAGCACATGTGACTCTGCCAGCGTAAGCCCTTCTTCTGTAGTTAGGAAATGTATAGAATTTAGGGCCAGGATTTCTCTGGGGGACCACCATCCTCCCCGTGGCATTGAGTGTATGTTTTTTCTTTTAATCTGTTTGGCAGTAGGCTTAAACGTTCCTCATTTTGACAATCTCACTTTTTTTTTTTTTTTTTTGCAGTTTTTGGCCGGGGCTGGGTTTGAACCCACCACCTCCGGTATATAGGGCCAGCACCCTACTCCTTGAGCCACAGGTGCCACCCCACTCTCACATTTTTCCCCTTCAGATGGAAATGTCTCCTAGATATCAAAGTTCCCTGAATAAAAGCTTTTTAAAAACTCATTTCTACTTCCTAACAAGACTAGGAATGGAGGTTTTTCTTTAATATTGTTGTCCCAGCCTGCTGTCAGAATTCCTTTCAAGAAAGATATGGCTTTGATCAGATAAGGAGGATTGAAGCTATTTATAAAGCACAATGATTCTGAGCAGGGACTGTGGAACCACCACCCCCACCCACCCCCCACCCCCCGCCCCAGGTTCTCGTGCTTGCACTGCCTCTGACTGGGAATCAGTCCCTGGGCAAGTTACATCACCTTTCCAATCATGAGTTCCCTCACCTGTAAAATCTGCATACTAAACCACCTCCTTCATAGGGCTGTTGTGAAGATTAAACAGATAATAGACTTATGGAAAGCACTCAAAATAGTACTTGGCACACAGCATGTGCAAGATAATATCTAGTCTTATTACCATTTCCTCATAAGTAATAATGTAACTCCATTAGTAATATTTGAACAATTTCTCATCATAGAAGATGCAGGTAGTATATGTTTACCAAGTTGTCTGACACCCCCATGCCTTCCTCACGCCCACTTCCCTTTCCCCATTCCACAACTTTAGACAAGTCCCCTCTGGCTCTGAATTGCCTCCTTGGTCAAAAGAGGGAGTGGGTTGCTCCGGGAGAACACCAGCTCCTGGTGAAGCCTCTGGTCTCTTCCAGAGTGCTAGTGTGACTGCCATCATCGTCCCCGGTGACATGTGTGCCTCCTTGGAGAGTGGAAGCTTGTAGAACACCAGCATGGTATAGACAGTCAGTGTTGGTTCCGTGAATGAAAGAATGAGAAATTTATTGTGTGCCTTACTTTGTAAACTCGCAGTGCTTGTCTGCATGCGCCACTGGCTCTTCTGAGACTCAGAGCTTTTACTTTTCCCTTCTTTTCAGTTTTGGAGATCATTTTGAATGGAACAAAGTGACCTCTTGTATCCACAACATCTTAAGCGGCCAGAGGTGGATTGAGCACTACGGAGAGATTGTCATCAGGAACCTGAATGATGATTCCTGCCACTGCAAAGTGAATTTTATAAAGGTAACTCTGGTGGTTCTCTCTGTCCCTGAAGGGCTGTGGCAGATCCAGGGCCTCAGAGCACAGAGCACTGGGGGCAGGGGGAGGCATTTCACCTTCACCTTTGTGCCAGCAGACAGGCAGTTCTTGGCTTCCCCAGTCCCAGCCTGCCCCACCACTGTCACCTAGAGCAGGGCTGCATGGCTCCTTCTGGCCGCCTCCACCCCAATTCCCACGCAGTCTGTTCTTAGTGCTGCAGGCAGAGGGGCCTTTTTAAAACATAAGGCATCCCGAGTCGTCATGCTACATCATAGATGCACCTTGGGGACCTCATGCAAAATGAAAAAGCCAGACCCCAAAGGACACATATTGCATGATGCCACTTACAAGAAGTCTCCAGAGGAGCCAAATTCATTGAGACAGAAAGTAGAATAGTGGTTGCCAAGGACTGTGGGAGGGAGGACTGGAGAGTTATTGTTTGATGGGTTGAGTTTCAATTTGGGAGGGTGAAAAAGTCCTGGAAGCAGATAACAACCCTGGTTGTGCCACATTGTGAATGTATTTAATGCCACTGGATTATACATTTAGAGATGGTTAAAATGATAAATTGTGTGTTTTAGATGGCTTACCACAAATTTTTTCAAAGTTATGCCATTTTATTTCCTTCAGCAAAATTCTCTTAATAACTCCCGTGTTTCTCAGAGTGAAAGTCTACGTCCTTACAGTGACCCACAAGGCCCTGCACCATCTGCACTCCCTCCCACACACGGTTGCACACGCCCTTTGCACACCTGCATGTGCACACATATGCACACCCACATGCCACCCTTGGTCCTCTCCAACCTCAGCTCCAATCACCCTCCCCTTCCTTCCCTGCTGTCCTCTGACCTGGCCACGGGCCTTCTTTCCCTTTCTTCATTTCCTTCTGCTTCAGCTGCTGTCCCCAGATCTAGCCCCATCCTGTCACTCACTTCCTATTATATCTTGTTTTCTTCAGAGTGTTTATTGCTGTCTGAAGTCAGCTGGCTCATTATTGCAGTACTTGATTTTTTTTTCTGCTCTCAACACGCTCCTCATCATTCCTAACTCTAGCAGAGTATAGCTCTGATGCCCAGAATGGTCCCCGACACACGTCAGAGACTCATAAAAATTCAGAGAACAATGGAAAGATTGGCCAGAGGCAAAAAGTATGGAGTGGTCTCTTTATTGTTCTAACTCCCTTGATTGGAGGCCTTTACCACCTTCTCTCCCTCCTAGATTCCTTCTTGCCTATAAAAATCTCAGGCACTTTTAAAGTGGCTTTAAAACATTACCCTCCTCGGGTGGCGCCTGTGACTCAGTGAGTAGGGCACCGGCCCCATATAACGAGGGTGGCGGGTTCAAACCTGGCCCCAGCCAAACTGCAACAACAAAAAAATAGCCGGGTATTATGGCCGGTGCCTGTAGTCCCAGCTACTCGGGAAGCTGAGGCAAGAGAATCGCCTAAGCCCAGGAGCTGGAGGTTACTGGGAGCTGTGACACCACAGCACTCTACCAAGGGTGATAAAGTAAGACTCTGTCTCTTAAAAAAAAAAAAATTACCCTCCTCAAAGAATATTTGCATTTAACTAAGATCAAAATTATAAGCTGTAAGATGACAGCGCCCGTAGCTCAGTGGGTAGGGTGCTGGCCACATAAACCAAGGGTAGTGGGTTCAAACCTGGCCCTGGGCCACCTAAACAACAATGACAACTGCAACAAAAAAATAGCCAGGCATTGTGGTGGGTGCATGTAGTCCCAGCTATTTGAGGGGCTGAGGCAAGAGAATTGCTTAAGCCCAAGAGTTTGAAGTTGCTGTGAGCTGTGATGCCATGGCACTATACCGAGGGTGAGACTCTTTCAAAAAAAAAAAAAAATTATAAGCTATAAGATTAGGTTTTAATTGTGGAGTGCATGCAGTAACTCTCTGCACCACCTGTAATGCATAAAGGACACTTATGAAGAGGTGGATTGGGGTCTTTATTACATCCAATAAGTCAAATGGGGTGGTAGGCAGATGTAAAGCTTATATGGGGGGCAAAAGAAAAAATGATCCTTCTTTGAAAACTGTGTTTAAGCTCTCTGCAGAAGAAATAAAAGATATTCATGAGCAGGGATGAATTACTATGATCCAGGTGATAGCCACCTAGCTTTCAATATTGTCCCCAGGGAACTGTGCTCACCTCTCATGTCGACCACCTACCCAGTTCTTATTGATTTAAAAGCAGAAAATGGATTTTTGTGGTTATGAGAGATGCACACTGGATGTGCTTCTGATGTTAACGGAGAACCCAAATGCAAGAAGCAGGTGCCAGAGTTAGTTACCTGTTGAATATGACTGCTCTTATGTGGCTTCCATTGGATTGTTAACATTGGCTTTGTAGGCAAATATCTCTTTAAAAATATGATTCCTGCTTCAAAATAAACTTAAGAGACTGTATTGTGTCCCCCCCCCCAACTTTTCTCCATTTTTACGTGGCTAGAAAACTCAACTTTAAATTTCTAATTCAAACCATTTTTCCCACAGCCTTAGACTGGGGAAACTGAACCACTAAAACATGACCTGAAAATGCCATTCAGCTTTATTGGTTTCCAAATGTGGGTTCTGCTGCTGAAAATAGTACCATGATTTTTGATTTATGGAGAAATGCCTTCTGTTCTTTCATAGAGATTTTTAGGACAGCCAGGTAATTGTGAGATTGGAAAAAGGCAACTCTAGGGAGTTATAGCTCCCTCTGCTGGTTCGAATGTGGTTCTGTATAAAACGTACAAGGCAGAGAGCTGGGCTGAGCTGAACTGAGCAGGGGGCAAAGCTGTGTCACAGGCCTCATCAATACACAGTGAGAATATGGGATCCAAGGTTCCTTTGGGCTGGATGAACAATCCTAGTTTTCGGGGGAAAAAACAATAAAAGAAACTGAAAATTCAAGCAACCTCTCTGATTGGTTTGCCAAGGACCATCTAGTTCCTTTAGAGAAAAAAAAATTATATGAGTTAAATTCCTTTTCAGTTGCAGTAGTCAGAGCACAGTGGCAGCCATGGGCGGCGACACTGCGTGGCTGATGTCTGAGAGTAAAACTGAGCCTTTCCTTTCTACACTGTGCATAGCAAAGTAGAAAGTCTCCTTCACAAATATTGGTTGAATTACAAACTACAAATAGAAGGTTAACCATTAATTTTTTTTTAAATAATAAAGCTATGGTTTAAAATTAAAAAGCCAGAACTTGGGCATAAAAGCAGACACACAGACCAATGAAACATAATAGGGAGCCCAGAAGTTAAGTGCACTTAACAATTTATACTTAATTGTTTTTGACATAGATTCTCAGAACACAGATGGGGAAAGGACATCCTCTTCAATAAATGATATTGGGAAAACTGGACATCCATATGTAAAAGAATGAAATTAGAATCTTATCTCACACTCCATAAAAAAATCAACTCAAAATGGATTAACGCCGTAAACATAAGACCTAAACCATAGAACCACTAAATGAAAACAGGGGAAAGTTTTATGACATGGGTCAGGGCAATAAGTTCTTTTGAATAGACCCAAAAGCACAGGCAATTATAGCAAAAACAGAGGAATGGGATCACATCAGACTATTTGGTTTTGCTTTTTAGTTTGTTTGTTTGTTTTTGAGACAGAGTCTCACTATGTCACCCTTGGTAGAGTGCCATGGCATCACAGATCACAGCAACCTCAAATTCTTGGGCTTAAGCGATTCTCTTGCCTCAACCTCCCAAACAGCCGGGACTACAGGCACCTGCCTCAATGCTCGGCTATTTTTTTGTTGCAGTTGTCACTGTTGTTTAGCAGGCCCAGGCGGGTTCAAACCCGCCAGCCTTGGTGTCTGTAACCGGTGCCCTAGCCGCTGAACTAAAGGCGCGGAGCCCACATCAGACTATTAATAAAGGCTTCTACACAGAGAAAGAAACAGTCAATACAGTGACTGTAGGAGACAACCTACAGAATGGGATAAAATATTTGCAAACTATACATCTTAATACACAAAATATATTATACAAGGAACCCAACTCAATAGTAAAAAAACAAGGTAAACATGGCCAAAGGACATTCACAGATATTTCTCAAAGAAGACATACAAATGACCAACAGATATATGAAAAAAAACTCAACATCACTCATCATCAGGGAAATCCAAATTAAAAACACAATGAGATATCATTTCACATCTATTAGAAAGATTGTTATCAAGAAAGTGAAAGGGCTTAGTGCCTATAGCTCAAGTGGCTAAGGCTCCAGCTGCATACACCAGAGCTGGCAGGTTCGAATCCAGCCTGGGCCCACCAAACAACAATGACAACTGCAACCAAAAATAGCCAGACACTGTGGTGGGTACCTGTAGTCCCAGCCACTTGAGAAGCTAAGGCAAGAGATTCACTTAAGCCCAGGAGTTGGAGTTGCTGTAAGTTGTGATACCACGGCACTCTACCCAGAGCAACAGCTGGAGGCTCTGTCTCAAAAAAAAAAAAAGTGAAAAATCAGTTTTGGTGAGGAAATACAAAAAAGGGAATACTTATACACCATTGGTGGAAAGGCAAATTAGTGCAGCCATTGGAAAACAGAGTAGAGCTTCATAAAAAATTAAAAATAGAACCACCGTATGATCCAGCACTCCCACTCCTGAGTATATAACCAAAGGAAATAACATGGAGTAGGTACCTACACTCCCATATTTGCAGAGACTTTATTCACAGTAGGTGAGATACGGAAGCAACCAAAGTGTCCATAATGGATAAATAGATACAGAAATGTGAAATATATGTACGTGTGTGTATATACAAGAAGGAACTCCTGTCATTTATGACGATATGGACAACCCTGGAGGATGTTATGTCAAGTGAAATAAGCCAGGCACAGACAGACAGAGACCATATGATCTCACTCACATGTGGGATCAAAAACAGTCAACTGGTAGCAGCGGAGAGCAGAAGGGTGGTTAACCTGAGTGTGTAGGAGAGTGAGCAGGAGATCAGGGGAATGCTGGAAAAAGAGACAAAATTTCCATCAGACGGGAAGGATACATTCACGAGCTCTATTGCATAACATGACTGTAGTTAATAGCAATGTATTGTATAAGCTTGAAAACTGCCAGGAGTAGTTTGTAAATGTTCTCATCACAAATAAGTGACAAGCATGTGAGTTAATACCCGTGTTAGACTGATGTGACCATTCCACGATGTATGTATGTTTTAAAGCATGTGGTACACAATTCACACTTACTTATTTTTGTCAATTACAAAGAACAGCCCCTCAGAACCGGCAAACTATATATGCAGTACGGAACCCCTGTTCCAGTTCCTTCTCTCGCTTTTTTCCTTTTTTTTCCTTTTCTTGCTATCTGTAAGAAGCTGATGCTAGAGTACTAAGCAGGGATTCTCATTTGATGCTAGGCGAAGTACTGGAGCACCAACGCCCACGAGATCGAAGGCACGGTGTTTGACAGGAGTGGGAAGGCGGCGCATCGGCTGTTTGGGAAGTGGCACGAGAGCATCTACTGTGGAGGCTCCTCCTCGTCCACTTGTGTCTGGAGAGCGAGTGAGTGTCTGGGTCCGTGGACTGCATGCAAAGGGCAGCTGGTGGGGGTGGCAAGAGGAGCCACAGTGGGCAGGGGACAGTATTTGGTGTCTCCGGCCTCTCCCGCTTTGAACTAGGTTAGAGGTGTTGGCCCTTCTTTCATTCCTCTAATGTTCCCCCAGCCCCTCATTGCGGTTATAGCAACCCCTCTGCTGGGCTGCTGGGTCCTGAATGAAGCCTGGCTAATCTATAGGCATTCTCTGAGGGAGTCTTCCGGTCCACAGTGCTGGGCATGATGAGAGAATACCAGTGAAATGCAAGAAGTCATTCCAGCGTCAGGACAGAGAGGAAATGTTGCTGGAAAAACAGTAACTTGGGAGTGCCTGCTGCAAGACTTAGGGAACCACAGGGCTGACCCAGCACCATTCTGATGTCACCTGTCATTCAGAGGGACACTGATTCCGGAAGGCAGTTGTGGGGAGAAGGGCTGGGGAGTCCTCACTTCCACCAGACTGTGCCCACAACTTTTTAGCACCTTATTCCATCTTCTAATCTGAAATATATTGTTTCCAAGTCACGATCATGTTGTGTTAATAAAATCATTGTTCTGAGATACAACCATTAGGATGCTTTAAGCTAATAAAACCCAAACAATAAAGAAAAGCATTCTCCTAGTGGCTTAACCCATTCTGTGCTGTTACTTAGCAATAAGTAAAGAGGTGGATGGCTTCAGGGTTGTTACATAGGCAACTTGCCTGTGTCAAGGATGCAGATCAGTGAAGACACATTCTGCCACTCCCAGTGGGCTGCTGTGATGTTCCCCTGCATGGGTGTAAAACAGTTGTCACAATTCAATTTCGTGTCTCTGCAGGATAGCACACCAAGCATGGAAGACAGGGAGTACAAAAGAGCTGTCTACTCTTACAATTCTTTTGTCTTAGGAGTATAATATTTCCTAAGATTCCCCCAGCAAATGTATCTTTCCATCACATCAAATGGGTCTGAAGTAGATCCAGACCCATCTCTGAACCAATCATGGGCAACAGGCCAGGCAGGAGAGATTCAGATGGGTTTTAAACGGTTTATCCCTGGTGAGGGCACAGTGCCACCCAGACAGCAACAGTGCTCCCTTAGCAAGTAAGAAAGAGCAACAGTGGTAGAGTAGGCAGTCAACAGTGGCTCTTTCAATGGGGGCAGCCACATCTTCCACCATCACAGAGATTGCTGCAAAGTCAGAATGAATGGCACCAGTGGAAGCTTTCCTAGATTTTACAAATGTGATAGTCTCTCTCCTCCTGAAAGCGTTTGTCACAGATGAGAACTGCCATCCTCTCTCAATGTTGAAGTAGTACCTTGACAAAGCAACGTGTGGGAGTTTTTGTTACATTGTTATTCCTTGACTTTATGTCTCTGCCTTGGCTGTGAGCATCCCAAGCCCATTTTTCAGAAAACCACTATTTGGCTGGTGTGGTGGCTCACACCTGTAATCCTAGAACTCTGGGAGGCTAAGATGGGTGGATTGGTTGAGCTCAGGAGTTCAAGTCCAGCCTAAGCAAGAGCAAGACCCCATCGCTACTAAAAATAGAATCAACTAGCCAGGCATTGTGGCAGGTGCCTATAATCCCAGCTACTCGGGAGGCTGAAGCAAAAGGATTGCTCAAGCCCAAGAGTTTGAGGTTGCTGTGAGCTATGATGCTACAGCACTCTACCAAGGGTGACAGAGTGACACTCTGTCTCAAAAAAAACCCCACTATCTTCTGGTGGTCGTAGAGCTGGGGTAGTTTTTTGAATTCATAACAGGAAGCTCTTCCATTATTTTCGTGCTTAAGATACATGAAGAGTTAGACTAGTTACAAGGAGGATTTCTAAAGTTTCCAAAACTGAATCTACAGAAAAGTTTTTGGAGGACATTTATTTCATTGCATGTGAATGGTGAGCACTTAGGCCACGAGTGGGTTTTATTAGTCTACATTCAATTTATATAGCATATAAGTTTGGGTATGTTTAGCTTGATGTTTAGCTGGAGTTCAAGATAGGGCGGTTCACCTAATACATATATTTTAAAGTTATAGATATAAAATTTTGGACAGGAGGGTTGGTAAAAAGAAGTCACAAATGAAAGAAAAGAATAACATTTATCGACCCCTTGCTATAGGTTCTACACCATTTCATTCTAGGTGCTAAACAGAGTTTCAGGACGTTGCTTTAATCAAAAATTAAGAAAAAAGTAATTAAAATTAATTTTAAAATTAATTACTCTAGAGTAAGCGTCTTCTTAAGGAAGAGTGCTCCCAGGGTTCTTTTTAGCATGTTTATTTCAGTATCAAAATTATTTTTATAGCTTAAACAATAATAAGCTTCACAGTATTGTATAAATTTGCTATCTGACCACACAAAGGAAGCTCTATCCCTATAGATGGGAGGAAACTTACAGAGAAGAAAACTTAGAAATATTCATCACCTGTTCATGAGTCAGAATATTCTAATAGAAGTGAAACCATTTAGAGCGGAGAGAGAAAAATTGTAGCTAGTTTGAGATGAAAACGGTAAAGGAATTAAAGCGTAACACAAACGAAATGCACATTAAGGATGAATGATTTTTCTTTTAGATCCCATGCCAAAAGGCTATGAGCAATATTATGGCTTCACACAGTTCGCGCTAGAACTAAATGAAATGGATCCATTGTCAAAGTCTTTTTTGCCACCTACTGACACTCGATTTAGGCCAGACCAAAGGTAAGGCTGTTTTAAAGATTTTTCTCTCCAAAGATGTAAAACTCTTTACAAAAAGTCTTATTAACAACTCCCAGGCCACCAGAACCATCTGAGAGAGGTAGAAAAAGTCAGTGGGAGTAGAGAGGTGTAGGGGGGCATTTAGCACTTGTGTCATGGAGGAAGTGGAGCTCCCTGGAGTTCTCTGTGGGGCCTATATTTATTAGTAAAGTTCTGGTTCTAATGAAATGCCAAAAAGAAAAAAAAGATGTTTATTTTGAAGACTTTTACTGCATGCAATAATAAAGAACTTATTGTGTATTTGAAAAAGGGAAAAACATCCAGTAACATTATTTTGGTATACTGAGACCTAACTACTGGTTGCCACCAGCAGGCTATGTGACATGTGATAAATCTTTTCATCTCTCTCAGCCTCAGTTTCCTACTCTGTAAAATGGGAATAATAGTCTCTCTCTGAGGCCTTTCTAATTAACACTCAGAATCCAGAATCCCCATGATTACATTTGGCTTTATTAAAAACAAACCAAACAGTGCCATGAACTAAGTATTAGTTAAAAAAAGAAAAAGAAAAACAACCCCAAATCCCTTTTTTTTTTTAATGGCAAAATAAATAAAAATATATAAAGTCAAAAGATAAATGACAGGGTGGCGCCTGTGGCTCAAGGAATAAGGTGCCGGCCCCATATGGCAGAGGTGGTGTGTTCAAACCCAGCCATGGCCACAAAAAAAAAAAAAAAAGATAAATGACAAACTGAGAAATCTATGCCTGTAACCCACATCATGAATTGCTTCCAAGAAATTAAGTAATAGATCAGCCCCCCATTAGAAAAAAATGGATGTAGGGAAGTGGACAGTTCATAAAATAGGAAATGCATTAAACAGGTATAAAGGTGCTCTGCTTCATTCAGAATAAGAAAAATGCCAATTTTAAAGTCTATATTGACATCCCATTTCTTAACCTAGCAGACAGGCAACATTTCTAAAGTTTGATACACTCTGAGTCCGTGGGAAGGAAGGGCACTCTCACAACATTGCTGATGAAGACATAAATTGCTATAATTCCCCCCCAAAGACAGTTTGGTAATATATAAATATACAAACTCATCCTTTAGCCCAGCAATTCCATTTCCAGAAATTTCTCTTTAGACTTCTCCTACTTACTCATGTGCAAAATGATGGATATAAAGCTCATTTGTTACAGCCTATAATGTCACATTGAAAAACTGGGGACAATCACAGTATCTATCAATAGGGAATCATTTAAGGGAATTAAAGTATGTCCACACGACTCATTATTACACAGCTGTTAAAAAATGAAGATATCCACATACTACAAGGGAAAGATCTCCAAAATGTATTAAGTAAAAAGTAAAGTAAAACCCAAGACTAAAAGATTAAGGTACAAATTGTCTGTATAGCTTGCTACATTTATAGTTTTTAAAGGGAGGGCAGGGTAAGAATATATATAAATATTTGTTTGTAAATGCAGAAGAATCTCTAGAAAGATGCCTAAGATATAATCTTCCCTGACTTTTGCAAGACATTGTTTGAAGGGTTGAGGGAAGGGTCTTATGCAGAGGAGACAGCAGTCTTAGACACTTGCAAGTTCAGTGGTAATGATTGTTATGTTTACTTGACATTAAATTCCGTGTATTTATTTCCCTGAATGCCTCAGGTTTCTAGAAGAAGGGAACTTAGAAGAAGCTGAAATACAAAAGCAAAGGATAGAACAGCTACAGAGAGAGAGGCGGCGGGTCTTAGAAGAAAATTACGTGGAGTACCAGCCTCGGTTTTTCAGGTTGGTGCCTGGGGCGTGGGGGTCATTGGTTGGTAGATGGTGCTGGCACGCCAGGCTTCTGTTCTGCAGAAAGTGAACAGAACCATCCTCTCCCCAGATGGAAGCATTCTCCATGTTTTTCCTGCTGTAGATGGTGAAACCTCTCCTCCGTGCCAGGCCCGACCTTCTCGGGGACCTCAGGCAGCAGCAGGGCCCCTTTTTGACCTGCAGCGCCTCAGCTGGTGATTTGTGCAGAGGTGGCACTCAGTAAGGGAGGCCGTCAGAGCTGTCCTGACACCAGGCCAGCTTATTAAATTCACAGCTAAGGTTGGACACCTTCATGGATAGATGACAGCTGTCCAGAAAGTATCCAGCCATCGTTAATAGGATTTTTCACATTACATGGCTGGATACTTCCCACACAGCCCTCCTCTTTTACTCAATGATAGAGATAATTAATGATCACCCTGCTGGCTACCAATATGGAAATTCCAAGTAGTCTAATTCCTGGATTTTAGAAGTACCAATGCACTTGGGCTTGAATTTGGAACTTCTACTGTTATTTTTAAAATAACTTACTGAAAGGGTCTTGTTAAAAATATATTTACATTTTGAAAAGGGGCAGGAAAGATCCTCAGTTCTTCACCTCTCCCATCCCTCTTTTAGTTTAACTGAGAAGTAAAGACCCCAGGAACATGGTGATTGTTAAAGGAACCAGTAGAACATTCTCCAGTGCTTCTCAACCTGTGGGTCGCGACCCACAGGAACTGTATTAAAGGGTTGCAGCATTAGGAAGGTTGAGAACCACTGTTCTAGACTTAGGTCTGGCTCTTCTGACTACCAGGCCAGCCTCTATATGGTTTTAAGGGTTTTGTTTGTTCTTTTTTTCAAATCAAAGTTAAAACAGCTATATGTAGAAAACCAGCAAGCTCCTGCCCAACTTACTCTACCCCAGTCCTGCTTTCGGGGCAACCAGGGTTTTATTTTATTTGGGGGTGTTTTTGTTTGTGTTTTTGCTTTTATTTGGGAGGTGGGGTGTGTATTTTCATTTTTAATGGACAACAGAAGTATTTTTAGAAGGGTTAAGTAGCTGCAATAAAATATGTATTCTATAACATCAAAATAGCAATAAATAATATTTTATCTCCAAATTATGGTGTTATTTTTGCCTAAAGTTGGTATAGATTCTATCAGATCCTTTCTGGCAATGTCGACAAATTCAGGATATTAGTGACTAAAGTTAACTGGCCAGAATTACATCCAAAATATTCATAACTGTGTTTAAATATTTAAAAACTAAGATAGACAGGTTAAATTCTTTTGTGAAAAAGGCAAGGGATAGTAAAATGGATAGATTAACAGACCAATCAATTGATTTACTAATTAGTCACTAGATACACACACCCTTAAATAGATCAGTTCTTCCCCCCCCCAGATCCTCTAGTTCTAATTCTCAAAAAAAGGAAAATCTACATTTATAAAGATTTTCATTGCAGCATGTTTTTGGATCATTAAAAATTGTGGGTAACCAAACTGTCTCCAGGACTAGTTAAGGAGATTCCTCAACTCAACCCAAGATGAAAGCATTAAAAATGACCTCATAAAGTCTGTGGGGCTCTGTGGGAAACATATTAAAATAACTTTTAAATACAAAAGACAAAACATTTCACGTGCTGTCACTGTAGCCACAAAAGCTTCAGGTTGGGGTGGGAAAGGGCTGCAGGCCACTGCAGCTGAGGAGGCCACTCCTCTTCTTTTTGATTGTCCATAACGTCATCAAAGTATGGTGTGGGGACTTTTTAAAAATTGGAGAAAAAGTGAGAGTTGTTCATCAGTAACAGTCACATTTGGGACTGTTCAAATTAGAAACCTGGCAAAGAAATTTCAGAGAGGAGTATGGAGACACAGATATGGTCATTGACCTTTGCTGAGGTTGGATAACAGCGTCACTGGGAAGTCTGAGTGCAGGCAGAGCTCAGGTAGCATCAGGCCTCTTTATTTTAAAATAGTGAACTACCTGACACACAGGTTGGCCCATGTCAAACATGTCCCTTTGTTGGGACGGGTAAACAAACATGATAAATACCTGGGTTCCTGAGAATTGAGAAAACAGGCACTCTCCACTTTGGCTTCCAAAAACATATGATAGCATCGGTCAGAAATGCACGTACTCTTTAACCCAGCAGTGCTAATTATAACAATTTTTAATGTAACTGTACTCACACACATAGAAAATTACATAGGCTTTGTTTATAATAGCTAGAGTTGGATAAGAACCTCAGTGCCCATCGATAGGATACCCGTTAGGTAAAGTATGGTCCATCTATACGGGGGAATATCACCAACTGTCATAAAGGAAAATGAAGAATCCTTTACTGCTGGAGTCACCAAACCTTTCTTGTAAGGAGCGAATGATAAATATTGTTGGGTTTGCAGGCTGTAAGGTCTCAGTAGCAATTACTCAACTGAGGTGTTCAACGGGAAAGCAACCATAAACAATATTTGAACAAATGGGCATGGCTGTTTTCCAATAAAACAGCACTTCAAAGGTAGGCAGAAGGCTGGAATTGACCCTTGGGTTGTGGTTTGTAGACCCTGCTTTATTGTGCTAATGGGAAATTACGTCCAATTTATACTGTTATGTCAAAAACTCAAGTATGTCTATCGTTATGTCTATAACATTTGTCAAAATGGGAGAGGGAGGGGTGTGTGTATACATGCACGTGTGGGCATGGAATTTCTTGGCAAAAATGAAGTTGATCACGTCACTGCCTCTCTGTCTTCTCTAAGGAGAACTAACAGGCTCTGAGATAGGGGTAGCAAGAAAACTTTTACCCAAATACCCCTTCATGCCTTTTGAAGTTTGATCTATATGAGATATTATCTATTTAAAGAATAGTAAAGCCTATGCTCTTCAGACCGTTACCGGGATCCAAGTCCCCCTTTTTTCAGTTCCCATGTACAACCTGGTTAATGTGTAGTTTCTATGTAGTCATTCCCCAGTCAGTGGCTGTCATCCCAGCCATGTTTTATATATGACAGATTCTCTCCCCCACTCAGTCCTTCTCTCAGAAGTACTTTTCACAGCCTCTAAGATGGAGAGGTAAAGTCAAAAGTATCAAAATGGTTTGTAGGCTCCCAGTTCCCTTTTGCAGCCAGTACTGAACTCTCAGGGATGTCGAATGCCCGTGAAAATACTGGTGGGGGAAGGAGGGAGGCAAGGAGGGAAGAAGAGAGAGCGAAAATGACACTATGTTTAAGAGTCTGCAAGAAATTGTTTCCTCTTTCATAGGAAATCGGATGATGACTCTTGGGTGAGCAACGGCACCTATTTAGAACTTAGAAAGGATCTTGGCTTTTCCAAACTGGAACATCCTGTCTTGTGGTGAAAAAGTGAAAAAGAAGAAGAAGAAGGAAGAGTTGGTGTACTTCTGTGTGTGCTTCCTGTGTCTGCACACGTAAACGATATTCTCTGGAATGATCGCTTGTGCTTAGCTTAGCCTTGTATTTAAGTATATATTTTCTTCGGTGGGTTTCTTCGCTATATCAAATGTTATCAGGATTGTTTATATGAATGGAGAACACCTTGGCATTTCTTTTTATATATAAACTATTTAATAAAAACGAACGATTGAATGTTAATGTGTGGGTTAAAAAAAAAAAAGAAGCTTTAACACTAATTTTCCAAAGGTTAGGGAAAATTCAAATCAAATTTCTGCCTTATAAATTATATTGGAGGAAAAAAAAAAATCAACCTCTCCCAGGTGCGGTAAGAAATAAGCGAAATACCCGGGGTCACTCACCCATGCGGAAGCTACCCAAGTTTAATTTGGTGGCTGAGATATCTTTTTGCCTCAGACAGCTCCTGAGTTGCTCAGACAGAACAATTCTGTTGGGGCTGGAGTCTGAAGAATATTTTCACGTGCATTTTAGTGACTGGGGTGGGGGTGTAAGATTCATGGGATGTGTCTTTGTATATGACGGATATGACACCTTCTTGATAAAGAAGCCTCTGAGCTCATTCTTCCCTGTAGTTCCTATTGCCTTATGTGCAAAATCATACACTCTTGCTCAGAGAATTTATCGTTAATTAGAGACTTCCCCCATTAATGAAATATCATAATGGCATCCCATAGAAGTAGGAGGAAATTTCTCCTTATCAGGAGCTGAATCCTTAACAAGAAATGACTTCCTGCTTCCCACTCCGCCCCTAGCTTGCCCACCCCTCCTGTTTGACCCTCTCTGTTGAGTAGGGAGTGTCCCTGTTTAGAAAAAAAAAAAAAAAAACATACAGTTCATTCCACACGGCAGTTTGATTTTCTAAAAGTTTAGCAAAATAACTGATCGTTTTGAATATCTCAACATGTTTTTTTTAAATACTGTTCTAGTATTTTCTACCTCTTAATAAGCACTGTATTTTAGATCTTGTATAAAAAGTTGGACCATCTGCCTTATAGACAAACGTAGAGAATTGATGTTCTTCCTTCGTGCTGTATTCTGATAAAGCTTTAAGTGTCTTAGCCCTTTCCTACAATTTCTTGTTATTCATATCACTCTTTTTTGGGTTTTGCAGCAGTCTTGAATAATATTATAATTTCTAAAAGGGGAAATTTTGTCTTTCTAAATGTGTTATTTCGAATTACAGTAATATAATTTGTTTAGTAGTTGAATGGTATTACCAAAGCAGTTCCACCCTCTGCCCAGATTATGTTAAAACCAAAGCCTAATTGTTAAGCCTTTTATTCTAATAACCATAACAATCCTAAGGACTATCAGATAAAAGGATGTGGTAAAAAGCTTTCTCCAGAAAACATTTTTAGATATTCACAGAAATTCAGGGCATATGGAATGTTATAAGTGAAGAGGAGACTAAAAAATAGGAAAAGAATGGAGGATTTTTCAGTATCACACCAAATAACCAGCTGGACAGCATTGCATTTTCAAAATGGAGAGTTACTTAAAGTGGGTCTTCTCAACCTGCGAGTGACTGGCATTTTAAAACCACTCATTAAATATGGGATTCATTTATTCCATTTTACGGAGACGCCAAGATGAATACAATGTGAATGTCATTTCCATTTCTAAGCCTTTGAATGACATAGTCACGTTGTTTGGTATGTGTTTTGTTCCTTCCTTTTCAAGTATTTATCCAAATTCAGCTCACAGACTGAGGAAGCGGGATATAGGTTTAAGAGTCCTCAAGGGGAAAACAAACCCGGTGTTCAAATGTGAGGGTAAACGTAACCTTTTAGTAATATTGGCTGTTAAATTGACTGTTACAGAGGCTGGCTCAAACAAGAAAACAACAACAAAAACAAAGCATACAGCCTGAATGGAGGTAGCATTGTCATGTGGGATTTGGAAATTCTTTAGTTGTTCTGATGCTATTATTTCAATTTGTCTTATGCTTTATTTTGGAATCAGAAGGACACTGGACCAAACATCACCTTTGTAGTCATCTTACTTGAGATGGGGCTGAGGATGAATTACAATATGATACAGAACGTATGCAGATTTAAAAGTCTACGAGTTAGTGCCAGCATCTACAAAGGACTTAGCTGAACTTTAACAGCTTGGTGATGCATCTTGATGTATAAGCTTAAAACTACCTTCAGAGGGAAATGGCTTCTTTCCTTCTGTTCCTTTTCTCAAAAGCATCTTGCCACCAAATTTATATCTCCACATTTTATGTTTTTAAGATGAAGAAAACAGGAGCATGGCATTCTTTGGGCAGAACTGAGGTAGAATTTAATTTTCTAGGCTTTTAATCACCCTATCAGATAATGCCAATCACTGCACCATTTGAGATGCATATCTTGACCTCTCTTTTATTCCTCATTATGCCACCCTAAATTTCTGGTGAATTACAAAAGAAATTCTTGGAAACAGGACTTTGTGCAGGCAACCACCCACTTCATCTGTGCACTTCAGATGATGTTCCCATTGCCACTATTGACTACCCCAAACCACTGGAATTCCATCCAGCAATGAGCCACCAGTCTCCAGGGGAGCAGGGGAGATCAGTTCCCTCCCCAGGCCCCACAGCACCCCAAGGTTGGTATTTCCCTGAGTCAAAGCTAATAATAAAAGCCTCCACGCAGCCCCTCAGTAGAGTTCCCACCCTGCAGCCAGGCTGGCTCTGGTCCTAACTAAAGAGAAGAGAATTCACTTGCAGGCAGCAGGTACCAGGATGCCTGGGCAGCGCTGCGGTCCTCCTGTACTTCATAGGGGACTCTGCAAGGAGAATATACAAGATGATTTTCTTTGATGTTTACTTCATTGGGGCTGCTGCTTTTCTCCTTTTCTACTTTTAATTACTTCCAATAAATTATTTGCTTGCGCTTCAAGCACTGTCTTTCATCTGTATTTTCCAGATATATGGTGAGTGACCCTGTTCTACTGTTAAAGATGTCAAGCCTAAAAGAAAAATAATCAAGTTTTGATTGGGCTGTGGAACTTTGGGTTAGGCCTGCTACCTACCACGAACAAGTTCCACGATGCCTCTAGCTATCGTAGAATCTCCTGAAACCTTGCAGTTAGGAACAAAAGCAACAAGTTGTTAGGATCTTAGGAATAATAGTTCCGAGGTATTGGCATAGTTTATTTAAATGTCTTTAATTTTGATATTAACATTAGCATAAATCTATTTTTGCTACCAGATGATAGCTATTTTCATGTGCTCAATTTACTCGGCGTTCTTCTTTTTCTGTATTGGAAATCCACATCACGTAAATATCTGCAGTTTATGGCAGTCTAAATTGCAAATCATTTTCAGAGACTTTGGTCTTGGGGAATGCAGTGATCATAAGTGGCTACTGTTTCATTTGTGGTTTTACTACATATCTTCCTCTGTTACCCTCAGAGGATACTATTATTTTTAAAATGAGTATTTGTAAGTCTTACTTTTAACTGTGCTATTGTTTTCTGTTTAAATCCAACCCTTCTCTCCCTACCCTTATGCCTTCCCCAAAGCTCCTATTAATGTGTTTATCCTCCTCATGTAGCTAGTTGAATGTGAATAAATAATATGGAAAAAGGTCACCATTGTCTTGGTTTTTCCAGATTAATGGGTATATGTGGCTGCCAAAAGGAGACAGAACAAGACTCTTTCAAGGAAGAAACAGATCAGGTTACTGAAAGGACTGGGGGCTGGAGATAAGAATACTCTGGAATTCTATAAAGAATTTTGGAAATGTTAGGTAGCTAGCTAGATATGAGCAGGGTAGATGATGGATGCAGTTAGGCTATTTTGGACTTGGTCTGGGCTGTTATAGGAATGAGGCTGATTAAGACCCTGCAGGTGGCTAAGGCACCAGCCACACACGCCTAAGGTGGCAGGTTCGAATCCAGCCCGGGCCCGCCAAACAACAATGATGGCTGCAACCAAAAAATAGCCGGGCGTTGTGGCGGG